ATACCATGGCATTAAACTATGGGAACAGTGGGGTTTTTTTGTTGGGTTTTTTTTTTTTTCCATGTTAAATGCCTAAACAGATTGCTTATTTTTGCATGTTGTCTTTTAAAATGAAAGAACTCTTCAGTTGCAATAGTCCAACGTGTAATCGGAGCCAGGTCAACTGTGTGACTTCACCATGCATCCTAGAACTGCAGTATTACCATCTTTCCCCCAGAAGAATGATGCTTTAAGACAATATCCCCAGCATAGGATTGGCTGCTTTACTCCTGGCAAAACATGCGGATTATAATTCTCTGGAAAAAAAAAAAGAAACTCTGCAAACTTCAAGGCGTTTCTCCAGCATTCAATGGAAAACAAAACAGAAAAAAAAAAAACCAAAAAAACAAATAGGGGAGGTGGAAGGGAAAGGGGAGATGAAGGATGGTGAATCATCCTGATTTCCCTGTGATTAGTGTGTCACTACAGTCACAGAACAAGAAACAGAAACCTTGTCAAGTGGAAATGCCTCTCCAGTGGGTTGCTGTTGCCCATGTAGACGACAGCAGAAACTTTAGAACCGGGCTTGTAAATTGAGTCTGTATTCATTAATCACTTGCATTCACTCTTTAAACAAAAACAAAACAAAAAAACGAAAAAAATCTATTCAGTACCGGAGATTAAATAATCACGTGTGTAGTCTCGTTGAAATAAATTTTCAGATTCCTTAAGAAGTCTAATTACTTTCAGTTGCCATTTTTAAATAACTATATATATATTTGTATATATTATCCTGTGATTCTAGTTATGGTTCCTCTGCTGCACTGAAGATTTAGAAGGAGCATAATAGCCTTTTGTCCCCCACGAACAGCACAAATGCTGCAGAAAGGTTATAACAGGCAGTCTCGTCTTGCTACCTTCATTGATCCGGGCGATCCATGGCTTCATCGTAAGTGATTATCCTTTTGGGATCTGGAAAGAAAGCAAAATCCTAAGTTTTCCCCACGTTACACCCCTGGGCAGCAATACTGCAAGAAGCACAAGAGTCTCCACCTACTGCTTTTCCCACAAGCTGACAGAGAACATCTTGACAGGTGAAGTGTGGGGATACACCCGAATTTAAAACTTATTCTTGGGTGTGACACCCAACACCAGAAAGAGAAAGTGATTATTGTACACATATAGGGAAGACTCACTAGATCTAATTTGACACTGGTTTTATTTCTCTTTCAGAGGCTCTGCTTCTCTCTGAACACCCCACCGTTATGGTAAAGCTTACTGTCCCAACTTTTAGCATCCAAAACACAGATAAACTTAAGACTACAAACAGCAAGCGCTGAAGAACCAAACTTGGGCATCTCCAGACACCGAGACAACCCGCTCTCAACACCCATCCCAACAGACAGAGCAATTTGCTTTATTTATTCCTTCCAATATCCTTACCTTGCTTCTGCAAATTCAAAACCGATTCCATTTCTGTGGAGGCAAAAGGAGAAGACCATTGTTATTATGCAGATTTATGCTGCCATTAGAAACTCCAAACATGCTGTAATTTTCCAAGCGTGGCATGACACCGCTGCAGTTGTGCTGAGGTTTTCACACAAAGCCAACCCCATCCAGCCCAGCAGCGCAGCCCCAACCCAGCCCACAGGATTGCACGAATTTGACGTGAATGACCCAGCAATAAAAGGCAGAGAGATGGCTGCAATGTGGTCTTAAGGGTCAAACGGCCAAACTGAGCATCAGAAATGTCATCGCCATTCTCCGCTCCTACAAATCACAATCCAACTTCAGGCTTTTCCTACTCTTGACTCCACCACTGCTTCACACATTACAGCCTCAACAAGTAGCCTGGAGAGATGATTTTTACGAGTTGACGCTTAGCGTGTGCGAAATCGGAACCGCTGGACAAAGCGAGTTTCTCATGGTTCACAGCATGCATCTGCTGAAGCACACCATGCAAAGATTACTCTGCTAACACCACTGCAAAACTGCTGCCAACGTATCATCCGAGAACAAGGTGCGATGCTCCAGACACCCGGCTGCCTGCTTGGCTTGCAGCTCCTTCCCCAATTTACCTCTACAACGCACTTGTGAGCTAAAGACAAACCAACCCTCCCCGATTCGTGCTGAAAGAGCACATGCTTTTGTTTACCTAAGGAATAACAGCAAAGTTAAATGCTCTTTTCATTCACATTAGGAAACAGAGGGCTCTTCCCTTTATAATATTGCCAAAACTAAGTCACATCTTCAGAGACCTATTCAAAATAACTACATTTAGCCGCTACCAAGTCCGAATTTTGTGAGCTGGAATATTTAGAAAGACACTAACTGTACCCTGCGCCCAAGTTTAAGAGACAAAATTATAGAAAAGGAGGAACACAACCTGCAAGAACAATCTTTCAAGTCTCCCTTCTGCCAGAAAGGAGGGTGGCAGGACCTTGACAGGGGCTAAGAACAGAGAACGGCAATGGATTATTAAGGTACACGGTATGTGCATTAAAGCACAAAACGAGGCAGTAAGCAAGCCAAGTGGCATGGGAAAGGAAGGAGAAAAAACCCTACAAAACTCATGGCCTCAGCACGATGTGTGCCAAGTGTCACCTCGATCAATCGCTTGCATGTTTGCGTCCCTTCTCCAACCCTTCATCTGTCCTTTGTCTGCTACAATCTCAAGCTCCCCGGGGCAGGAAATTGCATGCAAATAAATATTGCCAGCCCTCTCTGCACAATTAAGTCTTTTGTAAGGAAGGCCCTGACAAAATTTTTTTACGAGGCCTGTTATTTTTGCATCACGATAAAAGCAATACTTTGCACTTTCTTTAGGGGAACCCCAAGTACTTTGGGAATAGTAACCAGCCTCTAACACCCCCAGGGATCTCAGCAACCTAGCAAGGGACTACCTCCCTCATCCGCCAGATGTAGATTCCCCAGAAGTAAATAACCAGCTACTAGAATTACCTCCAGCAGAGCTATTTTCCATTCAGGGACGTCAGATGCACCATTTCCTAATAGCTAAAGAACATCACCTATTTTAACAGCTTTGCCCGAAGGCAGGGGACAGAAGACTGTTCTCAAGTTGTTGGTTCCTCCACATTAGAGCAACGTTTGAGCATCAAACACAAGGCAGAGACTGAAGCGCTGCCTGCTGCTGTTATCTCCATGCAAAACACCATGCCATGCTTTCTTTTGCACTTCCATTTGGTCCTAACTTCACTGGACACAAGAATGTGAACTGCTTGTACCAAGATGAGCCTGACAACAAGATAGACAGTAAGATACTATCAAAAACACACCAAAAAACTTTTAAGTTGTCAAAACTGTATTTTAAAAAAACCCTAACAAACCAACACCCAAACTCCTCAACCTTTTCAGACTTCAATCTTCCTTCTCCTCCTTCAGAAAGAGAGGGTGGCTTAAAGTGTCCTGTAAATCCCAAACACCCGGACACATTGGCTGGCAGATGCTCAGCCTGACAAAGCCACAAAACCAAAGACCATTGGCAAACGGGATGCGATATCGACTGTTACTGAGTATCGCCTGCCATCAGAAGAGCAAGATCAAGGTTCTCCCCTCCACCTGGCCGGCAGCCTTGGATACAGGATAGCACAGGTTAAGCACATATATCAACTGAAACAACTTCAGAGGGGAAAAAAAAACAAAGTCTTGGGCTAACTGCAACACAAAACTAGGAAAAAAAAGGGTTTTCCTTCAATCTTAAGATGGAATTCTTTATTCTGCTTTACTTGGGAATACATTAGAGTGAGTTTTCCTCCCAGTTCTGGATCGGTTACAGGCTGTCGTCACCTACGACCGTTCCAAGGTGCCGTGACAAGTGCCATGACCACGGCAGCAGTGGCTGGACAGACCTCAGGGACCCACTCGGTGGACGGGCAGCTCGGCAGAGCCACCGCTGCACAACGCCTGGCTCCAGCTAACCAGAGCAGTAAGCACAGGGATGCAGGGTGGAAGAAAAGGCAGTCCCCATGAGCTGGTATTGTAAGAGGCCCCAAGCCTGCTTTCAGCCCTCCTTCCTTGGGCTCAAGGAGCTCTTTTCTTAAGCCTGCTTTCCCTGGATAAAGCTTCCAGGGAGAGTTCAAGTCAGGACTCTTACAACCGCTCACCCCTGCATGGGAAAAGCGGTATCCTCACCAAGAGTCTGAGTCCGCCTCTCGGATACTGACCCAAAACCTAGTACTGCCGCTTTGCAAAGCGGAGGTGGTCAAGACCTGACCGACAGACAGGGGCCACCATTTCCAAAAGAGGACACGTGGCCGGGGAAGCGGCACACTTCCTTCTCAGCGGACTCAAACCCAGCTTGGAGAAAATGCCATCAAACTCTTGCAACAACCCAGCATCAAAGCCAGCTCTGCTCCGAGCCAGGGGCAGAACTAGGTCACCTCCCGTGCCCCTTCCAACCTCACGTTTTCCAGGATTTTTTTATAATTAGCCGACCTCTCCACAGCCTTCTGGCTCACAGTTTGCTGAGGGATTGCCGACAGCCCCAGCCACATCCACCTAACGAGCTCCAGGGAGAGGAACCACTTTTTCTTGGGACTATCACCGAAACAAAGGGCCGGTGGAGCAAGGCTTTGATGTCAGGAACAGACTAAGGCACACTCTGGTGAATTGCGGTGAGATTCCTCATAGGTCAATAAACTTTATAGCAGGACTGGTACATAACCTTGGAGGGGAAAGAAGTCCTTCTGTGATAACTTGTTAAGACAGGCACTTTTACACACCTTTTCCTTGCTAGAGAGGCTGCCCCTGCAAACAGGAGTGTCTGCACAACACCACTGTACCAGTTCTTTGTTCTTATAACTCTAACATATAAACTGACAATTGTCCCTAAAATGAAGCGCTAAAAAAAAAAAAAACCCAAATAAACCACCATAACAAAGAGGGACCATCCTTGTCTGATTTTCCTGTTTCTATCTACAAGACATAACGATTAAGTTAGGGGAGTGCCCCAGAAATAAAGCAAAGACTAAAAATTCAGTGCTGTGGAGACTCATCACTGTACCAAATACACTGCGCTCATCCTGACAACTGGAAAAAAAGCAGAGACTTGAAGGAGAATTAAATCAGCTTCTGCCCCACAAGACCATGAGCAACAGACTGAGATCTAACCCCTACCCACCAAGGGGGATGGGAAACCAAGCCTTTTTTTTTTTTTTTTTTTCCCCTCTCCTGATATACAGGATGAAAATTGCTGAATTCACAGCTCTGCTATTTCTTCTGACCCAGTTCACCATTCCGGCGAATGCCACTCCTGGCTGGCCCACGCCGCCTTGCTCTATTTTCCATGCTGCTCTTCTGCTTCTTCACGCGAGCAGAGATGCTGGCGCAACCGAGATGCCAAGAAGGAACAAAGCAGCAGCACAGGCAGAAATTTAGGGGCAGCCAGAAGAGGGAAACACTGCAGTTTCCTCTCCTCCACCTACGTGGTCTTTGCTACTGTGCACCCGAGCTGGAGATCTCGATTATTTGCTTTTTAGCTAAGGACAAGCAAAGCACTGAGCTTCCCACCACAGAGTTTGCCACACAGAGCCTGGTGTTAGTGACAGACAGCCTGGCCCAGAAGACTGCAACTGCCCAAACACGACAAAATTCTGCAAAGCGTTGACAATTATTCCAATATGAAACGTTTCATCCATCTGTCTTTAAAAGGAGGACTAAAGCAGTAAGAAGATACTGATTTCAGTAGATGTAAAGCTGAGATACACCCAGCCTCCTCTTTTGAAGGACCACAAAATCTGCGAGGACCAGTTTTACCTCAAAAAGAGATGAGGATTTTGGCAATGCCACACCGAGGCAGAGGTTCAGTTCTAACCTAGATAGGGACAACGTCCCTAAGTGAGAGCATCACTCCCTCCTGGTCCTTCCAGTCTCCCATACTAAGCTACCATCCCTGTCTCCAACCGCATAAACAGTAGGCCCACCAGCGCTCAACTAAATCAGATCTACCTTGCTAAATCAGGTGTGTCACCTGTGTGTCAAGGCATTGCCACAAACACCGAGCGGCACGCGCTGTCAACGAAGGCAGCCATGTCGAAAGATTGCGTTTTACAGTCAAGCAGATCGGATGATCAAGGGAGTCTTTCTACCCTTTAAAAAGAGGGGGGGAAAAACCCCAAAACACCAAACCAGCAAGAAGAACATCTAGAAGAAGAACAGGAGGGCGCATCAGCAGTCTTGCCAGCATCTTCCTAGTGCCCTGACTTCTGGGGAAAAAGCAATCTGGGCACATGCAAACGAGCACAGCTTCCTCGACCAGAGCCTTGCTCCGCTCTGCAGCCACCCAGCCTTGCACCCCAGCACAGCCTTGCACCCCAGCATGCACAGTGCTGCGGTGGCTTAAACAGGATTCCTGTACCAGAGCCAGCCCACCCTGTGCGTTACCTCCTCCATCCATCCTTTCCCAGGGAAGCTGTGAAGCAATTACAATCTCTAATGCCCCTTGCAGTCACTGGGCAAACCGTGCACAGGAAAGCCTGGTTTGCTGGAACAAAGCTACCGAGCAAGCTGGAGGCTTTCCCATAGCCTATTTACAGTCCAAGATGAGGATCCACATAACCTGATCACAGGTACAGACATAAACAGTGCAAACAAGGGTGCAAGCTTGCGAAAGATGGGTCGAAGCACTGCAGCCGCTCATGCTAGAGCCCATTCCTCACTGCAACACCCAGAGCTTCATCCTTACACCACAGCTAGCTTGCACTGAACTACCGCACATGGAGGAGCTCGGGGCAGGGACCCCACCAGTGCTCCACGCTCACCCCTGTCCTTGCCCTGCAATCATTTCTCTTTGTGTCCATAACCCCTGAGGCAGGGCAGATCTGAAGATCAAACTATTGAGACTTTGCTCAAAAGCAAACAGATCAATCTGAAAAGGGAGAAGTTCACCCTCCTCTGGAAATCAAAATCAAACAATCTGAGGATCCAGCTGCCCGGGACACCCTAACACTGGCCCAGACAAACCCGCACATTCTCCCGAGCGGGGAGGAGGGGAAGGCAGCTTGTGAAAAATAAGCGAGTTAAATTGTTCCTTTCCTATTGCAGAGGAACTGGTTGGCTAGGAGTAGGACCTCGGGAAAACAGCCCAAGATAAACGGAGAGAATGGTGTGGGAATTAACCACTGCGCTGCTCTCCTGCAAACGTGCCCTGGCAGTTCTGTCTTCTAGATGTTTTGCAGCGCGCCAGGCCACAGGAGCTCACCCGCAGGGCTCTGGCTGCAGGATCATGGCCAGGAAGAGGGGACATCGATTGCCACCTGCACGGGGCAGAGGAAGGCACCGTTACGCCCAAAACACCTTAACCCAACTCACCCCAATGGACTTAAGCACACCCAGAAACACACCACCTACGGTCATCACAGAAGATGTACCAAGACCTGGGCTGATCTCCTGCTTTATAAACCAGCAATAACACCTGAAGACTAAATAGGAGAAAGACAAGCTCAAGCTGTTTGGAGCACCCCTATCACTGCATTAACGACAGCACTTACTAGAAACATCCATCACCTTTCACACCTAAGCTAACACCTTGAAGCGAGCACAAACACAGCTTGAAAATTAAATCGGCACAGAAGAGTGGTGGGGCAGGAACCCGTTTCCCCAGGGCATCACGAGGGTGCTTGGTCTGGATGCTCAAAGCAAGAGCATTCACATGCAGAAGCATAGAAAAAGAGCAGAAAAGAGTATTTTATCGAGTGCTTTAGGTGTCCATTCTTGCCGTTGAATGTAATTAACTCCTGTGTTTAGAAGGACTAAACAGCCAGACTTTGAAGTTAACACCTCCTTAAGAGGACATGGGAAGGGAGTGTTCTTTATTTTCCTGTTGTTGCTATTGTTTTACTGGGGTCTGTCTTTCACACAGCTAGTGAGAAAGGGTGAGCTGATGGATCTTGCCGCGGCTGTACAAAGTTGCTTTTCTACAAGCAAGTTCAGGCTGACCAAACCAAAGAGAGAGAAACTTAAGTGTTAGAAAAAATTTGCAAACTGTTAAGAGGCGGATTGCCTAGGACTTCCCTTCTACACCATGCAATGCTTTCTGGTACCCCCATTTTCTGATGAGAAACTGGGATTTAGGCTGCAGGCAGCCACAAGAAATGAGAACTGAAAGCTTGCTTTAATACTGGAATAGATAGAGCAGCAGGTAGAGGACGAAGACCCAGATAAAATCAATCGATGAATGCTGTTCTCAAGAATACTAGAGCTTAAAATGATAACATCCTGAGAGTGTTGTGACCTGGAAAGAATATTTGGAGTTATTATTTTCAAATGACTGGGCTTACTATTACTAAAGGAAGCCATCTAAGTTTCTGTATGCTATACAAAGAGTTTGCGAACAGGTAATTTAAGAACTTTGCAGTGGATCAAAACACAGCAAATTTGCCAATGCCATCCAAATACCAGCCCCTCTGCAGAGGGGAGCGAGACATTATCCACATAGGTATGCGGAACAGTTAGCAAAAAAATGGATGATCACCTTTTTCCCTTCGGGTAGGGGGATGGGGGGGAGGGGGGGAAGCACGAATAAAAAAGGAACTGCCCCCGAGTTTGTCAGGAATAGATAAGTAACACCGTGGCAAAAGGGAACACACAGCCAGGCTCCTGCTAACACTGAGCCAGGACCAAAAGCCAAGAATCGCCACAAGACCTCACAGCTTCTGGGGCTGAGGCTAAAGCAGAAAGCAAGCCATCCCACAGGCTTCCCTCTCTTCGTTCCCAGTTTAAAGCGTCTGTATCATGTTTGAGTCATCTCAGTCTCAAAAAAAAAAAAAAAAAAAACCCAGGAAAAAAAAAAGGAGTTGGACTACAAAGGACTCCATGAAAGCAATAAAATAATCTGAAAGATTTGGCCTACAAAGACAACAAGAGAATTCAATCTGCAGCTTACAGAAGAGTTGATAAGCAGAGATTTGTTGTTCTGTTGCCACAATACTCAAGAAGGGCAGGGGGAAAAAAGCGCATGTGTGGGGTTCGCTTAAAAACATAAAATAAGTGCACCATGAAAAGCTGTAGGAATACTTTTTTTCTTCCTTCAAACCCACAATTTCATGGCCTGATGTGCCCAGGGGAGAAGCTGCAACACTTTGGCGGCAGAGGTGTGACCAGAGACTATGAAGCCTTTTCGGTGACAGAGTATCACCTGGTAAAGCTGGAACAGAGCAGGCAAACCTACACATTTAACTCCTTCCAGTGCCAAGAAGCTTAGGAGGACCTGCTCCTTCCATAGGAATGAAAATGTAAAACACACTAGCTAACTATTATCCCTATGAACAACACTTAGCGCTTGTCCGTAGGAATGGGGAAACAAATACCTCTTAACATTAATTAAACAACCGTTTGAATAACTTTCCCAAACCATTATTGTCATTAGAGACAGAAAAGCAAAAAGCTCATTTTCAAAACAATCAGAATTGCTGTAAGGAATAGATCACGTTAGAATATTGCACTTAAAAAAAATAATTAAAAAAAAAAAAAAAAAAAAAGAAAGAGAATGCCCTTAGGCAGCAAGTTAAGCCATTACCTTTAGTGTGATATATAATAGCAGCCCTCAGGTCAAAAGAACCCCAGCTATCTTTCCTTTCTAGGCCTCTCTGGTACCTCTGTTCTTTGGCGGAGGCTAGCAAATTGTTCGTAGGAGAGGCCAGAGGATTCTCTATTTCATAGTCTTTCGAAAGAAACACTAAAGCACCTTGGCTACCGGTGTCTGCCTTTTGTAGGTCACCTGTGTGATGCGACTCCAAAGCTAAGACACCACCCTCAACAGCAGTCCCAGGCTTAAGAATAGCACTAAGAATTTGAGGGCTAGTCCGTTTATCCAGCTCATAAGCCTTAGGAAACACAGGTTGTTCAGTTCCTGAGGGAATGATTTCAGCACACTGTGAAACCAAAGTGGCAGGATATTCCCCTTGAAATGTCACTTCCATTAACTGATTATCCGCAGATTTCCCCACAACAGTTTCGGGTCCAGCGCTGGGCTCGTTTATGAAAGACAAGCCCCACTGATTCTGGAAGATATCTCCCAGGTTCTGCTGATTCGTCTGCGATGGGAAATCGACTTGCGCTGTACCCAGAAGCACAGTTTGCATATTTGAAGGGTAGATAAAAAGGCTAGATTTCTTTTGTTCGAGAGCTGTCGAAGTTGTACTCGTGTCCTGGGGTACTGACTCGGAGGAGGTTGATGGTACAGTACTAGCAGCAGTTGAGAGCAGTGGCTGGGTCCCTGGAGAATACACACTTCCATCAGTCCCCGCCAGAATTGGCCCATTCGAGAAGCTAGCAGAAGTAACAGATTTCATAGCAGACATGGGGACTTGGGACAGTCGACTCGATGTTTGGGCCTGAGTTTCCCCGGCAGATGACGAAGATGACGAAGACGACGTGGATGGGGTTTGAGCTGCTTTGTTGAGGTTTTCTTTAACTTTACTTGCATAACTTATTTTGGGAACAATTTTAGCACTGCTATTGTCCACTGGAAAAACTGGGGGTGGTTTAAATAAGGTCCATGAGTCCTCTTTAGACGTAGCCGACGACGCGTGCTTCCCTTTGGGCCGGTCATCAAACTTCTTGCTGCTAATTCCAGGTTTGGCATCAGAGTTTTTTCGCTGTACATCCCCAAGCCCAGGCTTTCCCCGGCCTGCTCCACCAGCCCCAGTCTCATATTTCCACACAGGCTTAGTATTTTCAACTCTGTTCCCCTTTTGTTCACTATAATCAGGCTTGAAACTCTCAAGTTCCTGTTTTAAGGTTGGTGCACTGACCTCCTGTTGCATTATTTTGTCCTGTACTAGATTCAAGTTCTCACAACCCTTGGCACTGTTGCGCCTGCCTTTCCGTTTTTTAGGCGTAGTATATCCACTCTCGGAGCCGCTACCATCGTTATCGGCCCCTTTGCCTACGTAGCCATTCGTGATATAGCTAGAATTATTGGTTACCACACCGTTTGGAACAGACACTCCCTCTGGCTTGTCTGAGGACTGGCTTTCTCTAAGTTTATTTTCATAGGACTTCTCATTCTTTTTGTCCATGCTATTTTTCTGAATGAAGTTCTTGGTTTTGATTCCAGCTTTCCCCAAAGCACTGGCCTTCACAGTCTGTTTTGGGGTCACGTTAGTGTCTACGAGCTGCTGGCTGCCATTGGGTACCCTGGATCCTGGGGTGGTGGTTTCATCAGAGCACAGGCCCTTCAATGACACTTCTCTTTCTCCTGCGTTACCATTTAGCTCTCCGTAGCCTAGAAGAAAGCCAAAAACAACAAAAGGCAAGAATTAGAATGTGAAATGTTAAACTTCTGATTGCAGAAAGACGTAATCAGCCCCAAACATATCCAGTTTCCTCAAGCAGACATTTTAAAAAATGGGAAAACATCTACTCTCTGACATACAAAAGCGCATGCTTATTTGCTGGAAGCCACGGCAAGAAGGGTTAAGCAGAAAGCACCAGCAGCTACCGACTCGCACATACAACAGGGTGATGTACAGATAACAAAACAAAGCAAAAGTATATACAGATACTATGTAAGGAAAATATACTGTACTAAAGATCACTGGCAAGCCGGAGAGCTATTTCATCAGCTACTATTTCCAGGTCACACAGAGGAAAAAAATAATTCCCAGGATGCTTCAAGACAGAGGGATCTGCTGCCTTCGGTATAAGATTTGTTGAAGTTCAGAATCCATACTGTAAACAAGGGCCAACTCCTATCACCTCCATCAGCTCCCAGACCTGCAACACCAGCAGCCTTCCTTCCCACCCTCCTCCCAAACACCATCTCTAGTAAAGGGGAAAAAAAAGAAGGGAAAAAAAGAAAAAAAGCCATTTTCCAAAGGACACGTGCAAGTCCAGTTGGAAGTTGCATCTCCTCGCTAAATTTCAAAATAGCAACCAACACGTCCTTACACGTGCTCTTTAGCTTTGGAAAGGTGATAAAACCGTGAAGAAATGCATCCCTGCAAGCACGCTTCCACCACCACTGGCAACTGGCCTCCTGCCCGCTGAGAAGCGTCAGTATTTCAGAGTCCCTGGGAGACCCAGTACGAGCTTGAGACCCGAGCAGTAGAGTGCTTGCTGAAGCCTCCAATTCATCACACCCTGAGATTCTGCTGTACGCTCAGCTCTCCTTTTTGCTTCTCAAGTTCATTTCTAGGCCTTACGGTTCTGAAGTGAGTTTTGAGAGCGCGATTCAAGTGCAATTCAAGTGAAGCTGGAAGCCCAGGGATAGTCCAGACTGAACCACCTCATCTTTCTCACTTTTTTAAAAAAAAAAAAAAAAAAAAAAATCTCTAGCCAGAGACCTATTGCTTTCGAGGACCCCCGGCTATAATGCCCCAAGAGAAGCCTCGAAGCCCCATCGAGAGACGGGAAGAACACGATGCACCCAGCTCAGCAAATTCACTCCAGCTGTGGACGGAGCAGAGGGACTCAGGGACTCCCTCCTACTGCACCCGCTCCTCCGGGAAGAGCGCTATCCTCACTCCTCTGACTCACCCGTCCGCCTTCCCGAGGCTGGAAAGCCTTACATCTCCCGCAACAACCGACCCACCTAAGGCTTCATCTGCAGCCGCGGCGGTGCGAGGTCAGCACAGCGCACGGAGTCCCCCAAGGACGAGAGCAGGCAAAACTCCAGCTTGGAAAAGAATGTTTTTGTTGTTGCCGATGTTGTTGAAATTAACTGCTATACTAAAAATCATTGTTACCCTTGCATCCTGGAGCCTCAGATGTCTGGCAGATGTAACTGCTCAAGTTCTGTGCAAGTCGGGAACACAAGAATCCTTGTAGGAATCTTTACAGAAATTCCACAACTGAGTTTGCCGAGGGGGATCAAAAAGGATTTTACTACACGCAAGTATCTGTAACCACCGCAACTTCCACTATAACTTTCAAATACGCTGTTAAGAATATTAACCGTAAATACTTCATCCCAGAGAAAACTGATCGGATGGGATTCTCAGCCGAGTCACGGACTAAAAATTACATATTTCAGAATAACGTGCAGAGGAAGCCTTCTCAAGCGCAACGTGTTATAGCTGACCTTGCATGACTCAAGACTTCTGACACCCCTCGTTAATGAAACAAAACAATAAGAGCGGTCATAAGACCATTGCAGATGAGGAGCGAAAGAATAAAATGAAGAACAAAATCCATTTCAGCAAGTCAGTGTGTCAGCAGTTTCTAGTTCCAATTTTCAAGTATTCACAACTCAGCCGCCTGAGTTTTCTCCCAATCAACATTTGGCACAGCTGGCTCCGGCCTTGGCACAGAGGTGCGGCAACCAAAATTTAGGGGAAGGATGGGGGGGGGGGAAAGGATGTCAAAACGAACAGGTGAAGAGTATTTGGCAACCTCGGGAATCGCCTCATAGCTGGAGAGGGAGGGGTGTCTGAGTAAGTGCGTCTCGGAACCCCGGGCACACCGCAAACGGGGCAATGCCTGCTCAACTTATTTCTGCTCAGTAACTTATTTTCGCGTGTGCCCGAGCGGGTCCCTCCTGCCCCGCTCCCGCAGGCCGGGGCACCGAGCGCGGCTGCGGG